CCTCTGAGCCAATGACAATTCAGAATCAACCTCGACGTCACTAAACTCCGGGTGAATCTGAGTGAAACAGGTTGTGGAGAGGAGAAAGTGAAAGTAAATAAGAACAAACCAACATATATTGTCATATTCTCTGAGATATTATCATTATTAAAAATATAAACATGTTTTTAAACAAACGTAGAAAGAGCTACGTTTGAGTAATTATTAAATTAGAAGAGAGAATGATCTTTTCTAATTGTGTCATTGGGCTTCATACAAAATAATGGAGTCAAATGACAAACACCGACTCTCTATTTTTTTTAGAATAATGTGCATGGAATTTTTATTTTTTGTATCTATTTGGTGGTTTGTTTTTACCAGTGACTCCGTTGGACATTAATTTTACTTTAAAAATACATGTCCATCTAAAATATATGATTTCCTGTATATTTCTAATAGTTGAAGTTGAATATTTTATCATTATCTAACATTCACCTGTTGAAACTTTGGATTGTTTTAGTTGAGAGTGTTGTGTTCTAAATTATATTAACTCAGAGCAATTATAATAGTTTATATATATTGTTCTATATTCGTACCATAAATATAGAAGCTTTTTAACTGAACTGAGTGCTCGTTTATATATAAAATCTATGTTTGACCAGTTTGACCAGCAGATGGTGTCAGATTCTAAGTTGTCTGTTAAGATATTTCTTTAACTTTTTAAATTCTGAATCTAAAATGTCCAACCAGGCTTCTTCATCTCACACAGCTCCCGCTGTTACTGGGTAGAACTTTTCAAACACTTGTCACGTGAGGTTGGATTTACACATAAACACTGTGAGGTGCTAGAAAATAGATACATTAAAAAACGTAAAGTTACCCGGGAGGAATTTTGGAAATGTGTAATACGACAAAAACGCACACTTTCACCGAAATGGCTAAAGAACATTAAATAAAGTGAAACATCTTCTTACAAAATAGCAAAAAAAATTTAAGACAACAATGAGCTAAAATTTATTCGGAATGTTAAAACTTCTAGAAGCACAAAAAAAAGAGAAAAGAATGTCGTTCAACGAGACATTTTTTATATTTCGTTTTATTTTGAAAGTGTAACAGGATGTTGTTCTTCTTTCAGTTGAAAGTGAAACTAAAATAAAGTGTTTTTTTCAGGGGGAAATCCACTCACTTCTGTCTCCTTCAGTCGTACACTGATCACATCAGCGAATACAAGTCAACATGACGGACTTTTCCACAATTTATAAACTGACTCTGGTCGCAGTTTCCTGCTTCGTACAAGGTAACGTGTTTTTACGTCATTATCTTTCAGTTGTTTTGACCTAAAATCGTATCAAACGTCATTCTGGCCTAAAGTCTGTCGTCATAATCGAACTGTAATCACACACGGTGAATTAAACTGCAATGGGTTTCGATCGATTCTGTTACAAACGTATGTGATCGACGTCGAACTTTTGCTGTTAAAACACGGTGAAACTGTGGGTGACGTGTTTCCGGGTTTGACTAAATCGATCTCAGGTGTAGCCGTGTGTATTTAATAGTTTTATTCTTTATTTTTAAATGTGTTTTTCAGAATACTGGTCTTTTTTACTGAACGTAGTTTAGTTTTAACAGCATCTGATCGGGGCGCTTTGCTGCCCTCCTGTGTCTAATGTTGGTATTACATTACTTACCGTCAAACAAATGTCTATTTAAATAAGTAATAATGTGATGTAGAAAAACACGTGTAAATAAAATACGATATACAGTGTTGGAATGTTACTAATTTTTCTGTTTGTTGTGTCATTTGGAACATTTAGTGTTGAAAGAAAATATATTATCCTTGTGATTGTCATTTTAATTATAGCTTAGCTAATTTTGTAGAGAACTTCCGGTGCATTTCATTCATCTCGTGCACAGAAAGTAGTTTTTCTAAATTAAAATAATTGTTTTATATTTATATATCAAGTCATTTTAATTTTCCTCAGTTGACTTCACTTTCCTCCTTTTTTTACAATAACAGGTGATAAATGGAGGACTGTGAACGGTGTACAGTCAATGTCAAACTCAGTTTATATGACCAATACAAAGTGAAGCAGAATAATCTTCACCAATATTATTAAAAAACCAAATTAAATCACAAACTGAGCAGCATTTTAAAAACTGTGAGGAGAAATAAAAAAAAAACTCCTCTTTAAGGAAAAGGAAGAAATCTGCAGCAGGAACCATGTTCAGTCATCTGGGCTCACAAGTTAGTCCAAACAGATGTTTTTTATTCCCTCTCTGATCTGTGACTTTTCTGACTTAGTCTCCAGCAGCAGCAGCCGCTCCTCCTCCTCCTCCTGTCCTCCTCTGGAGTGCTGGTTTATGAAGGAGAAGACAGGAGGAGGTTTCCGAGCCCAGCAGCAGAAGTCCCTGCTCCACATCAGGACTGACGAGAACAGCCCCACTGATGATTCAGAGCCCACGGCGTCTGACGTCGGCGCTGACAGAGTTTTCTTCATCACAGGTAACACCGTGTGTCCCAGTGTTGACCACTAGGTGGACGTTAATCCCTCACTTACTGTTGTTGTTGTTGGGGCTTTAAATCCTCTGTAAATACCCCAGAGAAAAAGGCCTCCATCTCATCACGTCCTTCACTCCTCTGACTCCTCCCACCCTCAGACCCCGCTGCCTCTCTCTGTCATCACGCTCTCACCCCTGCCAAGGGTTCCCTGGAGAAGCCGCTGTGTGAGATGAACCCCTTCCAGCAGCAGCCCTCCCACCTCAAATGGGTGGCCCCCCTCACAGGGTCCGGGCTCAGCCCTCCGTACCTCCAAGCTGATTGGTTGGCCCTTACAGTGAAAGGCCGGAACAAGCAGCTGAGCGTGTCCACCATCATGCGAGCGCCCACAGGAACCGAGGAGCCAAAGGGTAAATGTCTGGACCAGGACCAGGTGAGAACCTCTCCTGTTCCTGGTTGAAGGTCTAACTCTGACCCTCTTCCCTCAGTGATCTTGAGTGTGACCACCAAGACCGTCCAGGTCCAGGCCAGACTCGGGGAGTCTGTGGTGCTGGACTGCGGCTACTGGGTCGACCCGTCTTCACCTCTGTCCGGGTCGGGTTTCGCTGTGGAGTGGCGGTACCAGTTCAGAGGCAGAGGACGACTGATCCTGGCTTATGATGGCAAGTTGGACCGTCTGGCTGACGTCCAGGACCAAGACGCCACCATGGACTTTGAGGCTCTGCACAAGACTGGGAATGCATCTTTGATCCTGCAGGAGGCGAAAGTACGTCACTCTGGGATGTACATCTGCACCACGTATCTGCCCTACCTCCAGACCCAGGTGGCAATGGAGCTAGAGATTATTGGTGAGAGAGAACCCTGGACCTTCACACTGAGCCACTGGTCTGCACTGGACTGGACTGGACTGGACTGGACTGGACTGGACTGGACTGGTTTGGACTGGACTGGACTGGACTGGACTGGACTGGACTGGACTAGTTTGGACTGGACTGGACTGGAAGGGTCTGGTCTGGACTGGACTGGACTGGACTGGACTGCTTATTTAAAAACCACTAACTTCTTTCTCATCTTTTAACCCTTCCTGTTCCACAGAACCTCCGTCCCTCTCCATCC